GCTGGGTGCCCCAGAGGGCGGTCAGAGTGGACACCGCGGGTCTGAGCCAGCCAGCCACGTGACCCCGGCGCGGGCAGGGGCTCAGGCCAGTCTTCGCCAGGTCCTCTCGGGCGTGAAGGCCACAGGAGGCCCCCGCCCGGGGATCCCTCCTTGTGCCGTCTGAGCCGTGGTGTGAAAGGCCGCGTCGCCGGCCAGTCAGCGGCCCGTGTGTGGCAGGGACGCTTGGGCAACTCCTGGGGCGACAGGACCCCCTGGAGTGACCTGCCCTGAGCCGGGGCCTCTCAGGTCACGTTAGCCGGACACCTGCGGCGGGGCTTTCAGGCCACGCTGGGTGGGGCCACGGGGTACAGGGGCTGCGCTTCCCTCGGGGAGGGCAGGGCGCCCCTCCCAAGCTGCGCGACTCCTGGGCCTGGCCCCAGCAGGGCGGCCCCCGGGTCCAGTGTGGTGACGACCACGTAGCTCGGTGTGTACTGAAGACCGGGAAAGGTCTCCGCGTCGTCACTCAAAGCAGGTTGTCCCTGAGTGCGGTCACAGCAGCTGTTGGCAGGCATCGTGGTCATGACAGAACCCAGAAGCCTTAACAAAGGACACCTCCACTACGTCCACTTCCCCACTCACTGTCTCGCCGCGTAGGGCTTTCGGGGTCAAGCGGATCTTCGCAGCGCCGCTGCCCCGCGGAGGCTGGGCCGGTCTTCGTGGGGCCACGCCGGGGTGCGGGTCGAGGCGGCTGCCGGGCTGAACCTCCCCACTGCCTGCCCCAAACCGGAGTCCTGTTTCTCGGCAGGAAACGCGCTTTTTCCGAGCTTCGGTCATTCCGAGGACGTCTCTTCACTGTCCTCTCTTCTTCCTTTTTCCTGTGTAGTGGACGCCTGGACTCTGGCCTTCTCTCCTGACTCCCAGTACTTGGCCACAGGCACACACGTGGGGAAAGTGAACATTTTTGGTGTGGAAAGTGGGAAAAAGGAGTACTCTCTGGACACACGGGGGAAGTTCATCCTCAGCATCGCCTATGTAAGAGGCGGCGGGTGCCCGGGCAGCGGGGCGGCCGCGGCGCCCCCTCACTCCCGCTTTCCGCAGAGCCCCGATGGCAAGTACCTGGCGAGCGGCGCCATCGACGGCATCATCAACATCTTCGACATCGCGACCGGGAAGCTGCTGCACACGCTGGAAGGTGCCCTGGGGCGGGCTGGGGGGTGCCCAGGCCCTGGCGGCGCGCGGGGTCCGTGGTGTCCGTCTTGGCCGGACACGTCACCTGTCACGGCTGGGTCCTGGGCGTGCCGGGTGGGCAGGCACCGCGGTGGACAAGCCTCGGTCCACGCTGTGCCCAGCTGGGGTTGGGGTCTGCGCCCGCCCTGATGCTTCCGCTGGGGCGGGCGGGGTGGCTGGGAGGCCCTTGCCCGGGGACCGTGGCGCAGGGACAGTGGCCTTTGTGAATTTCAGGCCACGCTATGCCCATTCGGTCCTTGACCTTCTCCCCGGACTCCCAGCTCCTCGTCACCGCCTCTGACGACGGCTACATCAAGATCTATGATGTGTGAGTCACCTGCGGGGTCTGCAGTGTCTTCGGCTCCCGTCCAGCCCCTCAGTGCCCCACCCGCCCCCCTGCCGTCCTGGAGCCAAGCTGTGACCTGGGTGGGCCGGTCTCGCTGCCCTTCTCCAGCTCCTGCACCCCGCTCCTCGGGGGTGCTGGTTTAAGCACTCCGACTCCAAGGTGCCCCAGGGGAGAAGCCGGGCAGAGTGGCCGCAGCGGCTGAGTGGCCACACCGCGTCCAGGCCGCGCCTGCCTGCCTCCTGCCCGCCTAAGCGGGCTTCTTGCTGCCTTGCGTCCCTGGTGACCGTGCCAGGCCCTCGGGCCTCGGTCCCCACCCTGCCTGGGGGCCTGTGGCCTGGGCCTCACTCAACGGCTCTGCCCTGGCGGCCAGTCTGCCCCCCTCAGCCCCACGTCCGCCAGCCTGTCTTCCGGGGCCCCTCTGCGGAGAGACGCTGGCTGGCCAGCCCTGGGGCCCGTGCTGCCCAGACTCTGCTCTGTGGGCAGCGGGGCAGCGCCTGTCTGCGGCGAGACCGCCTGTCTCGGTCACTCCTTCCCAAAGAAAAGGCCACGTTCGCCCCTGCCGTCGCCCGCGTGGCCACCCTGACGGCGTGGACCCTTCCCGGCACGGGGGCTGCCAGGCCGCGCTGACACTGCTCCCCACTGCAGGCAGCACGCCAGCCTGGCCGGCACCCTGAGCGGCCACGCGTCCTGGGTGCTGGGTGTGGCCTTCTGCCCAGATGACACGCACTTCGTCTCCAGGTGGGCGCCGCGGGGCTCGGGGGCGGGT